AAATATATTTGGGGCTTCCTTTTTCCAGCCATTGATATCTACCTTGCTTTTCTATCAGATGTAGGGGGAAAAAAAGTCACAAGCGTGAAAAAAGAGGCTACAAGGCAGGTAATATGGCCCCTCTTTTAAAAGGAGGAAGGGAGGATCAAAGGATGATACTCAAAGTGTCTAAGTTAAAGTGGACCAAGTGGGCGCACATGGTGGCCAACAGGCTACAGTCCAAGGCTGTAAGGATTAGATTGTTTTGCTCATCTCCAGAGCCCTCACACCAGCACACATGGTACATATAAAAATATTCATTGAGTGATTACAGAAACGAAACTGATTGCATATGTCTGCCTTCTGAGCTAAGAGTAGATTCTAGAACTAGGTCACCTAGCCACACTTAGCTGTAAGGAAGGCAGAAAAGCAAACAGGTAATAAAGCACAAGATGACCTGGACAGCTTAGAACAGTCCTGACTCCTCTTTGGGAGCTTGACCAACCACTCTCTATAAAATTGTTTTCATTATCATGGAAGAAGGTAAGGCAGAATAGCTGTTAGATCACCTGATAAAAGTTCCCACCACTCACCAGGCATGATGGTACAGGCCTGTAATCCCAGCTACCCTAGAGGCTGAGGCAGGAGGCTTGCAAGTTTGAGGCAAGTTTCAGCAATTTAGCAAGGCCCTAAGCAAGTTAGTGAGACCTTGGCTCAAAGTTTAAAATAAAGATTTGGGGACTTAACTTAGTGATAAAGCACCCATGGGTTCAATCACCAGTACCTTAAAAAAACATGCCTGCCATTCCAACAAAAAGGGTTCAGTGAGAAGAACAAATCCCAGCCTGCAAGGGAAATGATATAAGGCTTATTAAATGAAGCAAACATATGTTTATAAAAGAGGGGATTATAGATAACACAAGATCAGGACAAAATTGAGGTCAGGAGAATTATCCTTCCTCTAAGTTATTTGCTCTCAGTGAGGCCTGTTTGGGTGGCTAGCAGTATAATTCAGGACCGGATACAAATTCTGCTATATAATTTAGTTTTAGTTATGATAAAATATTTAACCCAAATTGACTTAAATACACTTGCCTACATGTGAGAGGTTCTGGGCTCAAGCCCCGGCACTTCGGAAATAATAAATACGTAAATGCAAAATGAATTTATTAGCTCAATTAATTAAACAGCGTAGGATTAGAGATAGGATCCGGCACTGCTGGAGATGGGGTCAGACCATGCTGCATGACTTGTCCTGTTTATC